TAATGTAATGTAATGTAATGTATGTATGTATGTATGTAATATATGTATGTATGTATGTATGTAATGTATGTATGTGTATGTATGTTATGGTATGGTATGGTATGGTATGGTATGGTATGTATGTATGTAAGGTATGTATGTATGTATGTGTGTGTATGTATGTATGTATGTATGTAATATATGTATGTATGTAGTGTATGTATGTATGTATGTATGTATGTATGTATGTATATATATGTATGTATGTATGTATGTGTGTGTATGTATGTATGTATGTATGTATGTATGTATGTATGGTATTGCATGTATGTATGTATGTATGTATGTATGTAATGTATGTATGTATGTATGTATGTATGTATGTATGTAATGTAATGTAATGTAATGTAATGTATGTATGCATGTATGTATGTATGTATGTATTTATGTATGTAATGTATGTATGCATGTATGTATGCATGTATGTATGCATGTATGTATGCATGTATGTAATGTATGTAATGTATGTATGTATGTATGTGTGTATGTATGTATGTATGTATGTATGTATGTATGTATGTATGTATGTATGTATGTATGTATGTATGTATGTATGTATGTATGTAATGTTATGTTATGTTGTGTAATGTAATGTAATGTAATGTAATGTAATGTAATGTAATGTAAGTATGTATGTATGTATGTATGTATGTATGTATTAATGTATGCAATGTATGTTATGTATGTTATGTTATGTTATGTTATGTTATGTTATGTAATGTATGTATGTATGTATGTATGTAATGTATGTATGTATGTATGTATGTAATGCAATGCAATGCAATGCAATGCAATGCAATGCAATGTTATGTATGTATGTATGTATGTGTGTGTGTAGGTATGTATGTATGTATGTATGTATGTATGTATGTATGTATGTATGTATGTATGTATGTATATAATGTATGTAATGTATGTATGCATGTAATGTAATGTAATGTAATGCAATGCAATGCAATGCAATGTAGTGCAGTGTATGTATGTATGTATTAATGTAATGTAATGTAAGTATGTATGTATGTATGTATGTATGTACGTACGTACGTACGTATGTATGTAATGCATGTATGCATGTATGTATGCATGTATGTATGCATGGTATGTAATGTAATGTATGTAATGTAATGTAATGTAATGTATGTATGTATGTATGTATGTATGTATGTATTAATGTAATGTAATGTACTGCAATGTAATGTAATGTAATGTAATGTAGTGTAGTGTAGTGTAGTATAGTGTAATGTATGTATGTAATGTATGTATGTATGTATTCATGTAATGTAATGTAAAGTAACGTAATGTAATGCAATGTAGTGTATTGTATGTATGTATTGTATGTATGTATGTAATGTAATGTAATGTAATGTAATGTAATGTAATGTAATGTAATGTAATGTAATGTAATGTAATGTATGTATGTATGTATGTATGTATGTAATGTAGTGTAATGTATGTATGTATGTATGTATGTATGTATTTATGCATGTAATGTATGTAATCTATGTAATCTATGTAATCTATGTAATGTAAGTATGTATTCATGCATGTATGCATGTATGTATGTAATGTGATATACTGTAATGTAATGTAACGTAATGTATGTATGTAATGTAGTGTCATGTAATGTATGTATGTAATGTATGTAATGTATGTAATGTATGTACTGTATGTAGTGTATGTAATGTATGTAGTATGTAATGTATGTAATGTATGTAATTTATGTGATGTATGTAATGTATGTAATGTATGTAATGTATGTAAGGTATGTAATGTATATAATGCATGTAATGTATGTAATGTATGCAACGTATGTAATGCTTGTAATGCAATGTAATGTATTTTAATCTAATGTAATGCATTTTAATATAATGTAATGGAATGTAAAGTAATGTAAAGTAATGCACTGGAATGGAGTGGAATGGAATGCAATGCAATGCAATGTAATGTAATGCAATGTAATGTAATGTATGTGTGTATGTAATGTATGTATGTGTGTGTGTGTCTGTACGTAGGTAGGTATATATGTAGTGTAGGTATGTATGTAATGTATGTATGTATTCAATGTATGTATGTATGTACGCATGTATGTATCTATGTATGTGCGTACTGTATGTATGAATGTATGTTTGTACGCATACGTGCATGCATGCCTGCATGTGTTGCATGCATGCATGCCTGTCTGTATGTAGGTAGGTAGGTATGTGCTTGTGTGTGTATGAAGGCTATGTATGCATGTAGTGTATCTATGTATGTTTGTCTGTATGTATGTTATTGTATGTATGTAATGTATGTATGTATGTATGTATGTACTGTAATGTAATGGAATGCAAATGTAGTGTAATGTATTGTAGTGTAGTGTAGTGTAGTGTACTGTACTGTAGTGTAATGTAATGTAATGTAATGTAGGCATGTATGCATGTATGTAAGTATTGATGTAATGTATGTATTAATGTAATGTATGTATGTATGTATGCTCGTACGTACGTATGTATGTAATGTATGTATGCATGTATGTATGCATGCAATGTAATGTAATGTAATGTAATGTAATGTAATGCAATGTAATGCAATGTAATGCAATGTAATGTCATGCAATGTAATGCAATGTATGTATGTATGTATTATTGTAATGTATGTATGTTATGTTATGTTATGTTATGTTGTGTTATGTTATGTTATGTTATGCTATGCTATGTATGTATGTATTAATGTAGTGTAATGTAATGTAATGTAATGTAATGTAATGTAATGTAATGTAATGTAATGTAATGTATGTATGTAATGTATGTATGTAATGTATGTATGTAATGTATGTATGTATGTATGTATGTATGTATGTAATATAATGTAATGTAATGTAGTGTAATGTAATGTAATGTAATGTATGTAATGTATGTAAGGTAATGTAATGTATGCAATGTATGTAAGGTATGTAATGTATATAATGTATGTAATGTATGTATGTATGTATGTATGTATGTATGTATGTATGTATGTATGTATGTATGTAATGCAATGTAATGTAATGTAATGTAATGTAATGTAATGTAGTGTAGTGTAATGTAATGTAATGTATGAATGTATGTATGTATGTATGTATGTATGTATGTAATGTATGTAATGTATGTAATGTGTGTAACATATGTAAATATGTATGTATGTATGTATGGATGGATGGATGGATGGATGGATGGTGCAGCATAATGTACTGTAATGTAATGCAACGTAATGTAGTGACATGTAATGTAGTGGAACGTATGCATGCATGCTTGCATGCATGCATGTATTCATGCATGTAGGTATTCATGTAATGTAGGTATCAACGTAGTGTATATATGAATTAAATGTATGTATTGCTGTTGCTATAATGTATGTATGCAATGTAGTTTAATGCAATGCAATGTAATGTAATGACCATGTAACGTAATGTAATGTATTATAACGTAATGCAATACAATGCAATGCAATGTGATGGTATGTGCATATGTGTGTAATGTATTGTATAGTTTTTAGATGTTACTTGAATGTAGTGCAATTCACTCCAATGCAATGCAATGCAACAGAATATATGTAATGGAATGTGATGCAAGTGCAATGCGATAGAACGTGATGTGGTGTGATGTGATGTTCTGTGGTGTAGTGTATTGTAAGGCAACGTATTGTAGAGCAACGTAACGTAACGTAATGTAATGCAACGGAAGTTGCTGCAGAGGTCATTGTAATGCATGGTTGTACGTAATGCATACAGCGTATGCAACGTATATGAAGTATGCAATGTATATCATGTATGCACTGTATACTGTAGGCACTGTTTGCAATTTTCGCAGTATTTTCAACGAATGAAATGCATGCACCGTATGTAATGCAATGTAATGTATGTATATATTGTAATGTACATGTAATGCAATCTATTGTAATGTGATGTAATCTAATGCAATGCAATCTAATTCAGTGCAATGCAATCGAATTCAGTGCAATGCAGTGTGATGGAACGTAATGAGCTGTTATTCAATGTAACGTAGCGTAGCAACGTAGTGTAATGCAATGTATGAGTGGTCTTATGAATGCATGCATGTATGGTACGCACGTACCGTACAGTACGCAAGCTATGCAATGCAAGTTGCTGTAATGCAATGTAAAGTAAAGTTATATAGAATAGCGTTATAATGCAATGCAATGCAATGCAATGCAATTGCAATACAATGCAATGCAATGCAATGCAAGATAACGTAATGCAATATAACGTAATGCAATATACTGTGAGGCAATGCGATTCAATGCAGTATAAAACAGTTCCTCGCAATGCAATGAATTGCGGTATGCAACTTAATGCATCGTTGTATTTTGTTTGTAACGCCACACAATTATTCAACCTTGCAGAGGCCGATAACAGGCGGATGGATATCAAGATAATTTTTGCAAGAGCCCCAGAATATCACTGTACATGTTTCTTTTAGGCAAGATTAATTGCTGCAGTCCTTGTTCCAGATTCTCAGGACCCGAAATTGCACAACCCCCTCCATGGTCTGAGTCCGAGGTCACTACCATCAACACTGCCGGAACCTCTCTGGCAACTGCTGCCCTGCAGGCGATGGTATGATGCTGTCCTGCTGTGGCAGGCCATCGTTCGCGGTTCGAAGCAACCGCTTGTTCACATAAGATTTGTCACGTGCCATCGGGGCTAGCCCGCGGTGCAAATTATTGTCATGAGAGAAGGGGGTAGTGCCGAGCTCACGAGTTCGTGAGCTCCCTGTTAGCCATGCGATTACAGTCAATTCGAGACACGCCTCATCTTCGGGTTTGTGACTGGGCTGCCTTCCCGAAGCCAGGAATGGCAAACCCCAGCCCAAATGGCTGTTCAGTGTTCAGGCGTTGCAGCAGGCTCAAAATCAAGCGTGCCTGTGGCACGTTGTTGCCCACATGTCATAGCTGTTACAGTCAAATGAATTGTGGTCGCCAAGGCAGCATCAGCAGGCAGGAGAACGTTGCCTCATTCGCGGCCATGATAGGGATTGCAGCAAGAATAGCAGGATCCATGAGGTGTAGGGGATAAACAGACTGCTTGCTTTGTTGCATGAGCTTTGACAGTTGCTATCCTCATTGACTGCCCCGGCAGGCTCATGCGCACATGCCTCCGTTGCAGCAGCCCCTGCCACACCAGGGCCAGGTGCGGAAGCAAGCCGGCCAATGCAAAGTAGGGCATTTCCTGGCCCTTGGCTTGCGGCACAAAGGTTGACTTGAGACAAGAATGCACCCCTTGGTTCATGTTCCTGATCGATTTGCGCAGCTCTACGGGCAGCACATGTATGGCCAAGGGCACATGCCTCAGTGCTGTGAGGCTATCGTATTTTTGAGGTGCGTATCAACGTTTCGCCAAACACTTTTCTTTCGGTGCAATATCATGGTACTATATGAGTCATGACCAGCTGTCAATTCAATTTGGGTGTTTTTTTTTTTTTAATCCCTCTGGGTTTTCCCCCCCCCCTAAACAAGCAAGCAAGCAAGCAAGCAAGCAAGCAAGCAAGCAAGCAAGCAAGCAAGCAAGCAAGCAAGCAAGCAAGCAAGCAAGCAAGCAAGCAAGCAAGCAAGCAAGCAAGCAAGCAAGCAAGCAAGCAAGCAAGCAAGCAAGCAAGCAAGCAAGCAAGCAAGCAAGCAAGCAAGCAAGCAAGCAAGCAAGCAAGCAAGCAAGCAAGCAAGCAAGCAAGCAAGCAAGCAAGCAAGCAAGCAAGCAAGCAAGCAAGCAAGCAAGCAAGCAAGCAAGCAAGCAAGCAAGCAAGCAAGCAAGCAAGCAAGCAAGCAAGCAAGCAAGCAAGCAAGCAAGCAAGCAAGCAAGCAAGCAAGCAAGCAAGCAAGCAAGCAAGCAAGCAAGCAAGCAAGCAAGCAAGCAAAGCAAGCAAGCAAGCAAGCAAGCAAGCAAGCAAGCAAGCAAGCAAGCAAGCAAGCAAGCAAGCAAGCAAGCAAGCAAGCAAGCAAGCAAGCAAGCAAGCAAGCAAGCAAGCAAGCAAGCAAGCAAGCAAAGCAAGCAAGCAAGCAAGCAAGCAAGCAAGCAAGCAAGCAAGCAAGCAAGCAAGCAAGCAAGCAAGCAAGCAAGCAAGCAAGCAAGCAAGCAAGCAAGCAAGCAAGCAAAGCAAGCAAGCAAGCAAGCAAGCAAGCAAGCAAGCAAGCAAGCAAGCAAGCAAGCAAGCAAGCAAGCAAGCAAGCAAGCAAGCAAGCAAGCAAGCAAGCAAGCACCCAGAACCTCCCCGGTATACCCTAAACACCACCTGCCCTACACTTGCCCCGACCCACCTCAGACCTGCGTTAAACCCACCCCAAACCTACGCCAAGCCCATGCTAAATCAACCCTAAACCTACCCTTAGCCACCCTAAACATACCAAACGTGCGTTGAACCCGAACCCAAATTCCATCTGAACCCACCCTAGACAAATCCTAAACCGACCCACTCTAAAGCAGCTGCAAACACCCCCAAACCTAACTTAAACCAACCCTGAACGGACCCCTAGCCCACCCTAAACCAACCCCCAACGCACCCTGAACCTAAAACCAAAACCCGCCCTGAACCAACCCTAAACACCCTAAACCGCCCTACAAGAGCCTAGATGGTTGTCACTCATCTTTTTCAGCAGCTGCTTCATTCTCCTGTCCTGTTTCACTAAGGCACCCGCCAACTATCCTCGTGACCAAGGACGTCCTGGATGACGGCAACCCCGCGCACCCCACCTACCCTAAAGCAATCCTAAACTTCAAGCTAAACCTGCTCTAAATCAATCACCTGCCCACCCCAACCCCATGCTCAACCTACCCAACTCAACCCATGCTAAACCTACCCTAAACCTACCCTAAACCTACCCTAAACCTACCCTAACCTACCCCAAGCCTACCTTGAACCGATCTTGAACCCCGTAAACCCTGAACCCAACCAACACTGAACCCAACCCTAAACTACCAGAACCACACTAAACCCACCTTAAACCCAACTTAAACCCACCTTAAACCCACCGTAAACCCACCTTAAACCCACCTTAAACCCACCTTAAACCCACCTTAAACCCACCTTAAACCCACCTTAAACCCACCTTAAACCCACCTTAAACCCACCTTAAACCCACCTTAAACCCACCTTAAACCCACCTTAATCCTCAACGAAACCAATCTTGCGCCAACCCAAGATCCATCTAACCAACCTAAGGCAACCTTGAGCCCCCAAACCCCCCTAACCAAACCCGCGCTAAACCCACCCCAACCTACCCTGAGCACCCTAAACCCACTCGAAACCCACCGATACGCACTGAACGTAACCTCAAGCCCACCATGAAAAAACCCCAAGCCCACCCCAAACCCCCAACCACCCTAAACCCTAAGCGCGCCCTAGACCTACCTTGAACCACTCCAAAACCGGATAATGGAACGGGTAGCAATTCCCAAAAGCGCTGGAAAAGATCCTGAAACAAAAGGTTGGCCTTTCAATTTCACGTCCGAAGCCCAAGGCAGCAGCTGTATGGCAGCCAGGCAAGGGTTTGCCGTGATTACTTTGAAGTGATTCTGGGGCAAGCTCTCTCAGTCCATCAAAGCGAATTCTTGCACCTTTGTCGGCAATTCAGCGTTGGGACTGACAGGCGTCCGTCTATGGAGGCGCTGCTTTTCTGCGTGCCATGCGTGTTGTATAGCTGGCCAAGAGATGGTTTGATTTCAACTTTGTGCTTCTCCAAACGTGCCGGCAGGTAGCCTTCCGGTGGCACCTCTCCGCGACCCTGCGCGGCAGCCCAGGAAAGACTTGAAAGAACAGATATCAGAAGGTGCAATTGCGAAGTCGGTGTAATTTGAGAAGTGGGCGTAATCGGAAGTCAAGTGCGATACATCGTGAGGGCTTGGATGCCCCTGGCTTGCCGTCTGCACCAGCCTCAGACTGACTCACGCCTTCAAATCGTTTTGTTGCCAAAGCGGCGCACAGTCAGGCTGGCGCTCCGCGCATAGCTCAGAAATTATGCGATCTCACAGATGCAAATATTGAACTCAGACTTCGAGGCCGCTGCTCCGCGACATAAACAGCTATGCGCAGGTTCCCAGAAGTCCAGCCTTGAGTGATTGAATCGGGTGATTTGGATACGTGGAAAGCTTTGTGGCATGTGACATTGCCAGGCTTACCCTGGCTCCAGCTATGCAGCGGCTGTGGCAGTCACAGCCTTGGGTCATGCTTTTTTCCACTTTTCCTTGGTCAAAGTGGCTTGCATCCTGCAAATGTGTCACAAGTGGTCGGATCAGGCTGCTGCTCATCATGCGCCAGGCATGACCCCAAGCTGTGCTTCACAGCCAGACACTTGTTTGTCTGACAGGTTATCCGCAGTCGCAGAGCTATGTTGGTTGCAGCCTTTCATTTGGCATTGTACCACCATGTAAAGAGCCGTGTATGCTTTCTTGCGTTCCATCAAGATTTCTCAACCAGGTCAGCAGCCATACGCCAGTGGCCAGCAGCCATACGTTTCCAGCCAGCAGGCCTCGCTGAGCGTTGGTCCGACATGGTTCCTTGCCTGAGAAGCGCAGCCATGCGCTTTGGCTCGCTTGGATCCAAAGCCGCCGTGTCAGGCGTACGGTGCTCAGTACTCGGCAGCGGGCCAGGCCCTGGTTCTAAACGGCACAAAGGCAAACCTTTTTTGCCCAGTTGGCGAATGTTGCGCCATCTTTTGCGATCCTTCATCTGGCAGGCCGCATATGCAGCTGGGCCCGGATGCTCAGTGCGGATTCTGGTTGATCGGACGATGGAAGGGAGAATCGCTGAAGTGTTTCATGATTCTTCTGAAATCCAGAAGAAGGTCCTGCTAAACCTTTGACACTGCACCACTTCAAATTCTCCCGTTACGACTGTGCATGGCTCAGGCAGCAGGCATACCAAACGGCGGCTGCGACTGCAAGCAGCGGCTACCCTCCAGGAGGAGCGTATCCACCACAGGCCGGGCTGATCCAAAGTGCGTGACAAGAAGGGGCAAGCAAGAGAACAGGCACAGTCCGGTTACGGTGCTCCGCCGGGATATGGAGCTGCTCAGCACTCAAAATATTGGGAATTGGGCCCGTTTTATGGCTGAGTCTCAGAATGACGGACGGTGCAGCAACATGCATTTTGATTCAATGTACTGCAGCACACGTATGTTGTATGTACCGATTCCAGCCGTGGCCGAGACCACATTTGAGATAAATGACACTTCCGTTTGGATTGCTAGTGGTAGCTATGACGTAGCACTGGCAGTAGTGGTGGCGGTGACATTGGCGGCGGCGATTTGCTTTGCTTTGCTTGCTTCGCTTGGCTTTGCTTGGTTGTGCCCTGCTTTGCTTGCTTGGCTTTGCTTGGCCTTGCTTGCTTCGCTTGGCTCTGTTTGGCTGTGCTTTGCCTTGCTTGAATGTTTTGCTTGCTTTGCTTGCGTGGCTGGCTGGCTGCCTTGCTTGTTTGCTTTCTTGGCTTTTGCTTGATGTTGCTTGCTTTTGCTTTTGCTTTTGCTCTTGCTTTTGCTCTTGCTTTTGCTTTTGCTTTCTGGCTTTCATTTTGCTTTTGCTCTTGCTTTTGCTTTTGCTTTCTGGCTTGCATCTTGCTTTCGCTTTTGCTTGCTGGCCTTGGTTGGCTGTGGTTGTGGTTGTGATTGTGGTTGTGGTTGAGGTTGAGGTTGAGGTTGTGTGTGTGTGTGCGGAGTGACAGAATACCCTGTCACCACCATGTGCCGGTTTTGGGAGCAGGGGGGCTGTCCACTGCATGGAAGTGACGGCCCAACGAAGAGGCTTCCATCAGTGCTGATATGGATTCTGGACGCAGAATCCACGTACCTGCAGTGATGAGAAATGTCCTTTTGGTCCCTCCCCTGAACCGCTGTTGCTTCTTTGTCTCCCTGTTGAAGTAGCTAGAGTGAAGCCAAGTGACCTGCCAGCCGATCCAGTTGTACTCGAGACTCATCAGTTGTACTCGAAAGATTAGCACTCTCCATTTGGAGTTTAAGTGTGTACACCCCATTCGTGGGGAATCCTCGGGTGTACCCATTGTGTGACCCCGGGCCGGCTCTGTCGGAAAATTTGACCTCAACGTGCTTATCATAGAACAGCGGAATTTCACATTTAACCAGGAACGAGGTTTCACTAAAGGGAAGACAGCGGTCAGATCATAGAGACGTCTCACCATAGCTGCTGACGGCTGCCGACTTGTATTGCATTGGCTTGCCATTTGTTGGATTTGTTGCTCTTATCATAGCGGTTGATGGCTGCTGACTTGAACTTGCATTGCCTTGCATTTGTCGGATTCATTTCCCTCACCATAGCTGCTGACGGCTGCTGACTTGAATTGCATTGGCTTGCCATTTGTTGGATTTGTTGCTCTTATCACAGCGGTTCATGGCTGCTGACTTGAACGTGCATTGCCTTGCATTTGTCGGATTCATTTCTCTCACCATTGCTGCTGATGGACGCAGACATGAACTTGCATTGACTTGCATTTTGTCGGATTCGTTTCTCCAACCATCGCAGCTGGTGGCCGTTGACTTGAATTTGCATAGATTTGCATGTTGTCGGATTCGTTTCTCTCAAGGTGGAAGTGTGAAGGTTGAGAGTCGGTTGCGCCACCATGTCTCGACGTGATGATCGTGATAGATCCAGGACTCGGCGCAGACGCGATCGGAGTCCTTCTCCTCAAGCTCGTAAAGCACACAGACGTGAACACAATGACCACCAGGTCTCGGAGGGCATGGATTGGAACAACCTGGTATCTTGGCAACACAATTCCGGCTACAACTCCGCCAACAATTTCCCGATGATGCTCACCAATTATCAATCGATTCCCAGTTCCACGCAGCAGTTCCAACATCCATCGATCAACTACATGATGCCGATTCCTCCAGAGCCCACGCCAACGAAGTTCATGCCGTCCGTGATGTCGCCACCGGTCACTACCTCGCAACCTACACCGTCACCTGGATACCCTGCAGCCCTGCCGGTTCGTCCTCAGAAAGCCTGGCTTACACCATCGCCTGACTGGACGCCTGGAGATGGCATGTTAGATGTCAATCAGCTCTACAACTTCAGCCTGCCCATGACGGTTGCCAACACTCCGCACAGCAACCTACGTGACATGTCCGGCATGGACATTCGTGACGTTCGCCTGGTTCAAGTTATTCATGGGGGCCTCACCAACTGGCTGCTCCGACCGTTCGCTCACGGCAGATTCGTGACGTGGGAAGGCTTTCGCACTCGCACTGAAGCCTTACTTTGGAGTACCTGTTCCAAACTACTACGGCGATCACAGTCGATCAACCTGCTCACCTTGGAAAAGGACCTTGCCAATTCGCTGGGGCTCAACCTCGACGACTTCAATCAGCGGATCAAGGTTCATGACCATTTGGCCAACTTGGTACTTCAATTTCTTCAGCAACACCACGCAACTCTCACGCCTTCCACCCAGACGGATGACATGGTCAAGAAGTACAATGATCTAAATCGTGCTCATGAGTTGCTCCAGGCTCAGTATTCAGCATCGCTGCGCGCTTCGACTTCCCCACGGTGGCAAGCCAGAAAGATGATGCGGAGTTGGTTACACCACCACCGGTCAATCACACACAATCCTCGTCACCTGCCAGCTCCCTCCCTACGGCCAGCGCAGCGGCCCTTGATGGCAAGTCGTTTGATAGCGCGGTGCAACCCCGGATCATTCAGTCTCTTCACGGAGTTTCTTCACCGCCTTCCAAGCCGGCGGCGTCACAATTGCTCACCATGCACAGCACGCCGGATGAAGTCGGCGAGTGCTACACATGGACCAGTGATCAGCCACGCTTGTATCTCAAGCAATCGCCCGCAACCACTACTTTGGCGTCACTGGTCAAGTGGGCCAATCACCCGTCCCGTCTCAACGGCAACAAGTCATTGGATTCCATGGCGACGCAACTCCTTCAGGCGCGTCAACGCATGCGAAAAGGCGACGCACCTACGCTCGGGACGATGGGGACTGGAGCCCAGCTACCTCACCAAGCTCACTGACAAGGCGCTGAGTCACCTCATCGTGACCGCCCGCTTACTCAGTGGATGAGCAGGCCCCTTGACGAACTTTGTTCACTTATGAGCCCGGAGCGGCAGCCGTGTCACGGTTGAGGAAAGGTTCAAAACTCGTCCGTCATCTTCTTGCTTTGCACTTGTTTGATCATGCGCTTGACTGTGCTTGCATTGTCCTTTGCGTGATATTCATTGCCGCTTGTATTCATGTCGCCGCCTCACTGTAGATTTCATTGGTTGCATGTTCACCATGTTGGCTGAGCTTCGCCGCTGTGGAATCTATGATGATGTTGCACAATGGCATTCTCTGGACACCTTTCTACACTCGTTGACAATGTTCTCTACGTGCTGGCAATACTGCTTCCCAGGACTACCACCACCGTCGATACCAGCAGATGAATACGAGTCAATCACACAACTACCGTGGTTGGGCCTCATTCTGGAAGTATTAGTTGTGGTCCGGATTGCACTTCAGATTCCGACTCACGCCATGTCGCAATCTCAACACACTGTGGCCAACAGGTATGAACTTCACAGATGTCGGTGCACGGCTTATTTATTGATCAGTTTCTTGCAACGTCTCACTTCTCAAGATCATGGCTACGTTCCACCGTTCTTCGAGGTTCTTCACTTCTACAAGGCATCTCCCTTGTGTGAAATTATGCATTCCACTTTTGCAGACACGAGACATCTGCGCTCAATACGGACACGGTTTCCGGACCTCTATGACTTCATTCACGATCCAGGTCATCATCAACAACCGTGCGTCTACATCCGACTTTCTCCATGGCACACGCCTTACTACGTTGGTGCGACTGATCAGGACGTTCTACGACGTGAACACTCACGCAGTCGCAAATTTCTACAACTACTTCGGGGTCGTCATGCCTTCTTCGAACCTGCACTTCACTACTGGAAGCGATCCAATACTTACTGGCTTTTTTGTGCCGTTCCGGTTGAGATCAAACTTCCCGTTTCCTCGGTTTGGGTCCAGGAAAGCAAGTGGCAATACCTGCTACGTCCGCATTTGAATGCGCCCTGGGTACATCGACTTCTTCGAAAGGTGGGCTTCCGGGAGCATCTCGTTGACTTTCGACGTCATTCGTTGTCGTCTCCCACCTCGCTCGGTCTGCGCAAACGTTTTCGACGACGACTACATCCGGATCTTCAACGGCAATTACGACCTGAAATGTTGGATGACATTCAAGCACATTACTCTATTCTCTATCAGCTGGGATCCAATACAGGCGCATCGTTCCAAGCCATGCGTGACCTACTGTCGGCGGCTTTTCCTCCCACTCAGCTTTACTACTTTCTGCGACTCTCCGTCTTTGTCAACGAGCCCTTTCGCTCCAAGGCACAGAAACTCCTCGCCCAGGTGTTGCGCAAACGACAGCTCCAATCACCCAGCACTTTGACACAACTACTTCTACCGCCTCTACACGTCCGGAATTGGAAAGCTCAACTTGGCACGTGGTTACAAGCTGGATCGCTTCTCATCGTGACTTGTTTCCCTCCCTATTCCTTCCAAAGATCCGGGCGGTGGAAACTCGCAGCGCCACTTTGGGCGACAGGACCTACAACTACCGCACATGGCAACGCAGATGGACTCCTGAAGCATCTTTTCCGTGTCGCTGTTCAGACATTGATGATCACCACCTACACCGTGCACATGAACATGCAGTAATGGTAGATGAGTTCTCACGCATCAATGCGGACATCGACATGGATATCATGGCCGCGTCTATGAAGGATCAGTATTTCGGCGATGTTGACTTGTTGCATCAGCGTTTCACCACACAACTTCGCAAACTAGCTCGTCGGTGGCATGTACATGGCTCCAGTCTTCTTACTGATCTACAGCCTGTTCTGACTCAATTGATGGACACCCATCGATCCAACCTTCAAGATCGTGCTTATTGGTCATCGACATCACTACAACGAACCGTGGCTTCTCTGTCCTCGTGGGTTGTAATTCCCGCGGATCATTTCCCCTCTCGTGCACATGTGATTTGCC